AGATGGTTCTCCCCAGCTCCAGGTCCATGGGAGGCGTCAGGGTTAGAGGTGCAGCGGCAGCGTTCCACCTCTGAGGCGCTTCCTACATTTCAAAGCAGAAGCACTCTTATCGACTAATTCCATAGTCGATAGAGATTCCATTGACTATTCTATTAGTTGATTCATCTAATTTTAACATCCCTGGGAGGTGGGAGAAAAATTGTTCTCCTTCGCCTGATGATGGGACAAGAAGCAATGGGCTTAAATTGCAGCAAAGGAGGTTTAGGTTGAACTTTAGGAAAAACTTCCTAATGGTCAGGGTGGTTAAACACTGGAAAAAATCGCCCAGCAGGGTTGTGGACTCTCCATCACTGGAGATGTTCAAGGGCAGGTTAGACACACACCTGTCAGGGATGATATAGACGGTGCGTGGTCCTGCCGTGAAGGCAGGGGACTGGACTTGATGACCTCTCAAGGTCCCTTCCAATTCTAGGAGTCTATGATCCTATAATCACTCTCACTGGCCATCTATGTGCTTCCCTTATGTGATACAGCCTGTCTTTAATTACTCTGCATGCTCTTTGGGCAGGCACGTTCTTATAGTCTAAGTTTGCATAGCACTCAATACAATGGGCCCTTGCACTTTTACCCTCTGCACACTACAGGGTTGATCTCTATGGTCCAGACTTCTGTGGTACAGCATCCCCAGGGTGCTCATGGGGAAAAGCTTCCCCTCCTGCCCTCTCTCACCAACTCCTCCTTTGCCTTCCCAGAGCTTCTGAGTGCCGCAAGCTCAGGGAAGGAGGAGGGAGCGACAGAGAGAAGTGGAGACGAGGAAAGCTTGGGGGAAGAGGCACAGTGCCTGCACAGCCAGTGGCAGAATCTGGGAGCACAGCACAGCACAGCTGCCATGGGTTCAGTGTGCTTTTGCAGGGCTGAGCTCCTAGCCCTCAGTCATGGGACTCTGCATCCAGCCTTCCTCTTCCCCACCCCCCAATCCTTGCTCCATGACAGCCTCTCTGCTGCTGCAGAAGTGAAGCTCAACATGCAGTTACAGCAGAGGGGCTAGCATTGACCTCCCCAAGTCTAACAGATTCTCTGGTGTGGGACTGGTCAGACCCTTAGGGTGGCAGTCCAGTGAGGCACAATCTGTACTATAAAACAAGTAATAATAGACAGAAGTAAGATACATTTCTTGAATGTTAATCACATTCCCTGTCTTGTTTTAAAAAGAAACATAAGAAATGTAGGGCTGGAAAGCACATCGATCTACTCTATATAGGTTTTCATAAGTGATAGGCTTATCACGGCAATATCTGAGTACCTTTCAACAATGCATTAAGCAATGTGACTGTGATTACACATGTCACAGTTGTTTGTTCTCTCATCCTCTCTCCATAAGGAGAAGCATCTGCAGTGAAGTGTCTTGTTGTGGTGTTTTTTTAAATGTTTAATAAATATACCTGCTGTGATGTGTTTATATTAGAGAAGGCAAATCAAAGAAACATCACTTGCATTTGGAGCTGAAAGTGGTGAGATTTGTGATAGTTCTGGGGGAGTTCATTCCACAGTCCTGGACTATGCCCACAGATGGTTCTCTCTCTTGCACAGATGAGTGGCACTGTTATTGTAGAGAGGTCCATCTAGACAAAGGAGCTTTAGATGGTTTTTATGTATCCTGGGCCCAGTCAATGGAGTGCTCTGAAAATAAGGACGAAGGACTTGAACATGATTCAGAATTCTATGGGAAGTTAGTGTAGAGAGTCAAAGGACAGGGGTGATGTGCTCATGATAGCTGAGGAGAAGTGCTGCAGCATTTTATATTGGTTGAAATTTCTTAATTGCTAACACTTCCTGCCCAAGTACACTGCATTGCTGCAGCTCAGCCAAGAAGTGACAAAGACATGAGAAAGACCAGATCTTCATCTGTATGGATGGGACAATCTCCCCTAGCTGACCAGAAATGATAAAAAGCATTACATATGGCTGTTGCTATGCAAGAAGTCAGCAACTGCAAGGAATTCAAGAGTACCCCTAGACTAGACAGGAGTGACCAATTGTGAATGTGACCCCTGAACCAAAGGGAGACTGCAGTATGGCTGCAAATTCTTCAAAATACTTTCTTCTGTCCACCAGAAAGAACTCTGTTTTGCTCAGGTTGAACTTCAGCAGTTCTTCATCTATGGGCTGATATCAAGTGCTATGACAGTTGGTGGTAAAGGTGCAGTCAAGAGGTCACCTACTCCTCCCTCCCATGCTGAGGCAGGACCAAGTATACCTAACACATGTTTGTCTAACCGGTTATTAACAATTTTAAACTATAGTGATTCCACAACCTCCCTTATAGTGCTTAACTATCCTTGTGGTTAGAAACTTTTCTCTAATGTCCAACTTAAATATCCCTTGATGCAGACTGAGCCAATTATTTCTTGCTCTACTCATAGAGGACTAGGAGAAAAATTGATCACCATCCTCCTTATTACAAATATATATTTGATTTTGAACACAGTTCTTATGTCCCCCTCAGTCTTCTCTAGACTTAACATGCTCAATTTTTTCAATTTTCCTCAGAGGTTATTACTTTCTAAACCCTTTATTTTTTCTCCTCTGGACTCTTTCCAAATTGTTCACATCTTTCGTAAAGTGTGTTGCACAAAATTGGGCACAGTACTCCATCTGAATCCTCAATAGCATCAAGTAGAGTGGAATAATTACCTCCTGTGTCTATATATGATACTCCTGTTAACACATCCCACAATAACACTGCTTTTTTTCACAACAGCACTCCAGTGACTCATATTCAATTTGTGATGCCTGTACTTACCATATCTTTTTCTGCAGTTCTGCTGCCTAGCCAGTTATTCCCTATTCAGGATTCAGCACTTGTGATTCAAATTTGATGAGTCTATATACAGAGATGAGTACTTAAAAGTTAAAGATAATGCAAGCGGAGATGTCAGCTCAACATGTTTTCTAAAACTTTAATGACAGCCAACAAGTCCTATAATGAGTATTTTTCACTGCTCTAAACAGGTTTGAAATACTGAGATTTCCTCCATCCGCTGAATGAAATCTGACAGACATTATAATAAATAGTGAAAAAGAAAATCAGATCTGCATGCTGTGGATCTTCATATTTCAAAATAGATTCTGCTCCTCTCACTTCACAAATTCTAGAACGTTCTACTTGGGGTGGAGAGAGAACCTTCCTTCTCTTACAGCTCCTATACGATGCTATTCCCACTTCTCCCAATGTATGTTGTAGCTAGAATGCAACAGTTTTGACAAATAGGGGAAAATGCTCTAAATACAAGCAAACACTTGATCTTACCTCCCTCACTAGTTCTTTCCTGAGGTAAGACTTCTCAAACAACAAAATGCTTTTCTACCGAATAGGACACTACAGAAGTACTTCAAGTGCCATGTAGCTTGCCATACAAGAGTTATTTGGCAGTCCTGTCTGCTTTGTTCTGCTGCATTTTCAACTAGAGTAAATTTGCCTGGTGTTTATTCCCATAATTTCTCATTTCCCATTGTTGCAGAGCAACATGCATTACAGGCAGTCCCCGGGTTATGTACAAGATAAGAACAAACCTACAGTCCCTAAGTTGAATCTGTATGTAAGTCGGAACTGGCGTCAGCCGCTGCTGAAACTGATCAGTTTCAACCGTGGCTGAATCTGGACGCCAGTTCTGACTTACATACAGATTCAACTTAAGAAACCCAGGCGTCCCCAAGTCAGCTGCTGCTGAAACTGATCAGCGGCTGATTCCAGGACGCCTGGGGCAGAGTAACTCTGCCTCGGGCTTCCTGTAGTCAGGCGCTGGTCAGTTTCAGCAGCGGGTGGCTTGGGGGCGCCCGTTGGTCCGGAGCGGCACTGCGGGACCAACCCGGCAGCCCCCAGCTGCTCTACCCCAGGGGTAGGCAAGAAAAGCCTGGTCTGCTGGGGGGGGGCACTAGCTGCACCCTCCCCCCCCAGCAGACCAGGGAGACGGGGAGCAGCTTTTCTCGCCCCGGAGGACGGGGGCGGCGGACCGCGGCGCATCTGGGCGTCCCGCCGCTCCCGTCCTCAGGGGCGAGAAAAGCCCTGTTCGTAACTGCGGATCCGACATAAGTCGGATCCGCGTAACTCGGGGACTGCCTGTACTTGTCCACATGGCAGCCAGTCTCCACATCACAGAGTTGGCTGAAATTCAACAAGCAGAGTGATTTCTGCATGTAATTAGGCACAATGCTGCAGTCCCCTGCTGACCTCAGTGGGAGTTTTGCTTGCACAGGAATCATAAAAGTCAGGACAATAGCTTATAAGTCATTTTGGGATCTTTTGTGGTAGAAAGACTCTATATAATCAAAGATCAGTATTAGACTGAAGATTAAAAGCATTGTAAAAAGGTATGATTATATGGCCATTGCATACATCAAATAACTCCATACTAAAAGCATCAAAATGTAACATGGGGTAAAGGAACTTCTGGACTGTTACGTCTCTATATTTATTTATTTTGTGGAGAAGAGAATTCAGCTCAGAGGCGATTCAGAGGATTTTGAGAAGACAAATATACAGGCATAATGCAGGCCTCTCTCTGCCCCGGTAACAGGTTTGTTTCCCTGGAAGACATGACAATACCAAGACACACAGCAACAAGGGGCTGTCCCGTGAGACAGCAAGGGTGGCATTTCAGGAGGTGGCAGCACAGACAGGAGCCTCTTGTCTGGCACCCAGGGGCTCCAATGGCAAAGGGAGCCAGCAGGTTCTCACAGAACAACGCGCCCCCCAACACACACACCCCCCAGCCGGGCGGAGAGGAGCCGTCATGGCCAATGGGATTAACCCTTCACACGCCAGGCGGGGCGTAGTAACAGGGCTCGGCCCCCTCCCGACGCTGGGGACGGGTTCTACCGGGAAGGGGCAGCTCAAGGCCAGCGGCTGCCCTGTGGTTTGTACTTTACAGATGAGCCCTGGGGCTGAACAGCCCGAAGGACCCGGGACATCAGGGGCCGTCCCTGACGTGCTCGCCCACCTCGCCGACGAGGAGCGCCCAGCCACCATGGCCTCGGGGGCCCGTTATAACCGCCCCCTTCCCCATCGCCCGCTCGCTCAATCGCTTTCCAGTGACATCAACACGGAGCGGGGGCCGGTACCTCGGATGTCCACCGCCGCCATGATCCCCCGCCTAGCGCACTTCCGCCCCGCGCCGGGGTTCGCCCTCACGGCCCCGCTGTTTTCAGAGGGAGGGTCTGAGCCCCACTGCAGGGGGGTCCCCAGGCCTGGTGTTAGACTTGTTGGAGTCCAGGTCCCACCGCCTGGGGCCAAAGCTAAAGATCTGAAGCCCTTGGGCTTCCGCTTTGACCCCAGCCCTGCTCCGGCTCAGTGGGGCTCAAGCCGGCTTAGGACTTGGCACTGGAGTCGTGTCGTAATTTTTGTAGCCAGAAGGGGATCACCGCGCAGTGAAGCGTGAGCGCGTCTGTTTTCTAGTGTCTGAGAGACTTGGGTCCAGCACCCGTGGCAGGCGTGTGTACGTGCGCGCAAAATGCATCTCCCCGCCCCATGGTCCTCCAAGGAAAGATGAGACTGGGGCGGCGCATTGCCTCAGCCTCCCTCCTCTGCCAGCCACGGGAAGGCTGGGACTGATTTCTCCCCTCGCGCCCCAGGAGTGTGGCCGGGGACGGGACTGCAGGGCCAGGGCAGCCACCAGCCCCCTCTCACGGCTCGCACCCGACAAACAGAAATTCATGCCTACGTGTCTGCATGATTCGGTCCTTTTCCCTTCTCAGCAGGCTCCAAGCTTCCTGCTCGGGGAAAGATCCACCAAGCTAGAGGCTGCACTTAGTTGGTATCATCTGGAGTATTTCCCCCAGCCAAAGATGCTTTTTGTGTTACCCTGACCACTCAAGCATCATCAGGATCCCCCCCCCCATCACAGATTGTCTTAAAAATCATGAAGTTTTCTAAAATTAACAAAATGAGATTCTCACTATTTGCTTGCTGGTGGTGATGTATGTAGTTCTCAAGGTTCATGTTCACAAGCTCTCCACCACCAATACGTTCTTTTTCCAAAATGCAGAAAGCTAGAATTCTCACATAATGGTATGATTCTCAGAGCCAAGGTTTTAGGAAAAACATGATACATCACAACATTTGGGAAATAATTCTGAGAAAATAATAAATAATATTATTTGGGAAATATAATTTGGGAAATAATAAATCTGGCAAGGCTATTTGAATGGCCAGGGCAAGGGTCGTATCTGTCATCTTTGTGGGCCACATCTCCATGCTAAAGATTAAGTTGGCCACAGATACAACCCAAATGAATTTACAATGTAAAGAGGGTAGCTACCTGTACTTCAAAAAGAATATGACAGCCTGAAAAAGGCAAAACAAAGCTAGTTTTCAAGGGAGTGCTGTTGGTACTTAGCTAGTTAATCCTAGGGACTGTGTTTGCCTTCTGAGCATTCTGTTTGCCTTCTTGGGACCATGTTTTCCTTCTAGGCATTCTGTCTGCCTTCTGGGCAACAGAAGATCTGACTATATATATATATATATAGTACCTTTCA